TTTAAAAAGAAAAGAAAATTTAATGAAAGATCACATCACATGGTGCATCACATGAATATTAAAAATGCACGGTGGAACTCATGCATTAGAAACATCTCTTTCAGGTTATCATATAACTAGAATAACAATGATCATCTTATTTTAAATTCGTAACGTCTCTTTTAGATTATCAAAGAGGCTTTTGAACTATTTAAACGTCTAATTACCAACTCATTGATTCAAATTCTTTTCCTATTTTCAACTTCTCATTACCAACTCCCTGTTTCTCTGTTACGAACTTATCAAAAAAGGATGAAAATCTAATGTTTGTTATCAAAGAAAAGTATGTTAACTTCAATGATTTTGAAGGTTTAGAAAAAATGTTGAGGGAAGTTGTTAGCAAACAAAAGTTTAGTGGTTACTTTAACATTCTACATGGCCCCATATACACTAACCTTGTTAAAGAGTTCTGGGTGAATGCGTTCATTGTGACAACTGGTGATAAAGAAATCATCCAATCATATGTCAATGGCAATTATTTTTTCATTACTCAACCACTGATTGCTTTAACAATCAACTGTGTAGAGTTTGATAGTTGTGTTGAACATTATGAATCCAACCATGTCTATGCCATCAACCTTCACCAAACTTATGTCAAAGATACTAATCTCTCTAGTCCTGCTTCTCTACACCCTATATTAAAATTTTGGTTTCAACTTCTAGTGTCAAATCTTTGTCCAAGAGAGAAAGACCTAGAAACGCCTACTTGTTATGACAAACATCTCTTGTTATTCCTCACCTATAACATGAGAGTTATCTTCCTCTTACCATTTTCAAATTCTTTAAGAAAACGACAGAGACTTCTCATGAGGAAAAGAGTTTCCTCATACCTTATGGAAGAGTTCTTTCTGAACTTTTCAATAAGTTAGGGATGGTTAGGGGTGATGTTATAGTTGAGTGGACTGAGAAGTTTGAATTTTTTGAGTAGTTTTATTTGTTTGTGTTGTTGTAGTTGCTTTGGTGATGTTGTAGTTCCTATCAATGAAATATTTAAATTTTACTATTATTGTCTATTCATGTTTAACCCAGTTTTGTGTTAAGTCGTTGAAAATAGTTAAAAATACGGCAAATATGATTTGAAGCGAGGTTCCTTATAGCTATATTACCTCGGTTCTAAAACAAAAAAACGAGCTAACAAGTTTATTATTATTTTTGGTTTAAAAAAGCGCTAACTTATAGTTGTGTTACCTCGGTTTTTGATAACACTGGCGTAACATGTTTATTATCTTATTAATAAAATCAAACATTGCGCTCTCAGGACGTATTCTCTCATTTTTTAGCGCGTTGAACTTGAAAGCCCTGTCATGAAATATATTATTTGTTGTAGTGAAACTTCATCTATTGTCAACATGTATAAGAATTTAAAGAATAAAATATTGCTAAGTCACAAGAAACCTCTTTCTTGTAACTTAGCAATGTTTTGTTTTTGTTTTGAGAATATCTGTCAATAACAATAACATACAACAACACAACAAATACATGCAACAAAATTATATATATATATATATATATATATATATATATATATATATATATATATATATATATATATATATATATATATATATATATATATATATATATATATATATATATATATATATATATATATATATATATATATTTTAGAAACAAAACACTAACAACATATAATATCATAAGATATACGAAATTGTTTCAAGAACACATATTTTATTGAAAATAATCTTGGAACTATAATAAATTATGAAGTTCATATAGTTTGTGATGTTATGAAAAAGAAATACAAGGTTGATAAAGTTTCTACAATAGCTACATACTTCTTGTATTTTTTTCATAGCAACACAAACCATATATATCATAGTCAAAGTATGCATTTTATTAAGATGGTAAATACAAATCTAAAAAAATGAGAATATTCAAGACCTTATCAACTTATACTATACACTTGCTACCACCATCATCACGATGTGTCACCCTCTTAACCATCCAACACCATAATCTGCAAAGAAACACAATAAACTTCAACCATTATCATCATCATAGTATAACCAATATACTATATAAAGCAACCTACTGACTCATTGCAATGGATCTACCATTTTCCTACTGTTACGCTGCTGAAGTTGAAATCCAATCCTAAAATCATAATCCTAACTTCTAAGAATCAATAATATCCAGAAGAAGAGTAGAAAGAAGAGAGTGAGTTAAGATAGATTGAAAGAGAGAGCAAGAGATCATACCATCTTCGCTACCGTCAGAGTTTGTGCTGGATCTCCGGCCAGGTATCCTGTAAGCTTCCATTAAGAGTTTTCTGTTTAGGGATATTGGTCACTGGAGAAAACTGATGTGCATAAGTTGATGATATGTTAGGATTTTCTTTAGAGAGAAACGACTGTTATGAACTGGGCGACATATACTTTCGTTTATATATAAAAAATGTCATTTTTCATCACTGTTGACAAGACAAACTATGATAATATATTATTTTAAATAAAAAATTATATATATCACAAGGGTTAAACAAAACAACTGTAGTGATATCCCTTTTATTTTTTATTTAAAAATAAGTAAAAAAGAAAATGCACGCCTTAACGTTAAAGGAATAAAATATTTGAGAGGGCTGATGTTCGAACTCATGAAAGTTTGATTGTATCACCACTGTGAGGTCACCAACTATTATTATATCCTAATAATTTTTAATTAAAAAATATTAAAAAAATGTTAACACTTGAGTTTAGAGATGTCACTGCGGTGTGTGGAAGAACTGTGGTGATCCTTGGACGTTGTTGCATGTGCGTTTTGTAGTAGTGTATTCAAGTCACTTAATGATATTGATATTATTGAACATTCACGGCAAAGAAGTCTCAGAAAAGACATTTGCCTCCTGATTTTATTTAACACACTATTGTAAGATTATGTTTTATCTCTTTTATTTTAAACTATACTTTTAGCGCGTTGAACATGAAAGCTATGTCATAAAATGTATTATTTGTTGTAGTGAAACTTCATCTACTGTCAACATGTATACGAATTTAAAGAATAAAATATTGTTAAGTCACAAGAAGCCTCTTTCTTGTAACTTAGCAATGTTTTGTTTTTATTTTGAGAACATTTGTCAACAACAATAACATACAACAACACAACAAATACATGCAACAAAATTAAAAAAACATACATTTTAGCAACAAAACATTAACAACATATAATATCACAGGATATACGAAATTGTTTCAAGAACACACATTTTATTAAAAATAATCGTGGAACTATAATAAATTATGAAGTTCTTCTAGTTTATGATGTTATGAAAAAGAAATACAAGGTGGATAAAGTTTCCATAATAACTCCATATTTCTTGTATTTTTTCCATAGCAACACAAACCATATGTAGCATAGCGAAAGTATGCATTTTGTTAATGTGGTGAATATGAATCTGAAAATATGAGAATATTCAATACCTTATCAACTCATACTATACACTTGCTACCACCATCATCACCATGTATAATCCTCTTAACCATCCAACACCATAATCTGCAAAGAAACGCAGCAAACTTCAACCATGATCATCATCATAATACAACCAATAAACTATATAAAGCAACCTACTGACTTATTGCAATAGATCTACCATTTTGTTACTGTTACGCTGCTGAAGTTGAAATCAAACCCTAAAATCATAATCCTAACTTCTAAGCATCAACAATATTTAGAAGAAGAGTAGAAAGAAAAGAGCAAGTTAAGAGAGATTGAAAGAGAGAGTAAGAGAACATACCATCTTCACTTCCGTCAGAGTTTGTGTTGTTTCTCCGGTCAGGTATCCTTTAAGCTTCCTTTAAGAGTTTTCTATTTATGAGTAATGGTCACTGGAGAAAACTGATGTGTATAAGTTGATGATATGTTAGGGTTTTCTTTAGAGAAAAACGACTGTTATGAACTGGGCGATAAATACTTTCGTTTATATATATATATATAAAAATGTCACTTTTCATCATTGTTGACAAGACGAACTGTGATAATATATTATTTTAAATAAAAAATGAAATATATAGCAACAGTTGAACAAAACAACTGTAGTGATATCTCTTTTATTTTTTATTTAAAAATAAGTAAAAAAGAAAAGGCACATCTTAACGTTAAAGGAATAAAATATTTAAGAGCACTAATGTTCGAACTCATGAAAACTTGATTGTATCACCACGGTGAGGTCACCAACCGTTACTATATCCTAATAATTTTTAATTAAAAAATATTAAAAAAATGCTAACACCTGAGTTTAGAGATGTCACCACGGTATTTGGAAGAACTGCAGTGATCCTTGAACGTTGTTATATGTGTGTTTTGTAGTAGTGTATTCAAGTGAGTTGATGATATTGATATTATTGAACATTCACGACAAAGAAGTCTCAGAAAGGACATTTGCCTCGTGATATCATTTAACACACTATTGTAAAGTTATATTTCATCTCTTTTATTTTAAACTATACTTTTGTTGATAAAATGACGAGTCTCTTTTATTTTGATTGATAACTTTTTATATATTATATATAATATAAACTTGTGGTTTTTAAAGATTTCAAAAATTTTCTGACTCACCACTGCTTGCATGACCTCGCTTTGATTATACACCATCGACAAACCCTACTTAAGAATATTTTTCCTGTAATTCTAATTATTATTTTGGTGTAAACATGAACATAAAAAAAGAGAAAAATTAAATAGAAGGCATACATGATAAAGGAAAAGACCAAATTCCTTTTTTAAGCATAAGTATTACAAGGAATTTAAAGTGCAGTCAAATCCTTACTCTTATTCTAGTAAACCAAAGCCACACACCCTTGCAGTTGATACATTCAAAAGAAAAACAACAAACTAGAAACACACATTAAAAATACATATCCATTATTCTATTTATTTCACACCATGGATAGAGAACTTGCAATATATAGTACAATGCATCTCCTTGACATTCATTCCATTTAAATCATCCGGAGAGCAGAAGCAATGAAAGGTCGTCCTTGTTTTTCCATTGATTTTCTTTTCAAACGCACCTGCCTCTCATTGTATAGAATTTCAGCCAACCTTCAAAAAGAGGAAAAAAATCATGTTAAGATTTTTCAAAAAAAAAGAAAATTTAATGAAAGATCACATCACATGGTGCATCACATGAATATTAAAAATGCACAAACCTTTCAAGAGCTTCAGCATTTGTACCCTCGCTTGGTTTCTCGAATGGAAGAAAAGAAGTTACATTCAAAACCTTAACAGACTGTGGGAGCAAATCATCTGCTGCCTTTATAAGTTTTTCCATGTTTTCCTTACTAGTATCATCAGCAGTTATGGATGGATCCAAATTAAACTCCTGCATATAATTATAAAGAATTTGAATCTCTTAAATTTCCAATTTTAATTAGAAACCGAAACCCTAAACCCTAAACCCTAATCTCTACTGGTACATGCATGTACCTGAACTCGAAGGTAGTAATTGTCGGAAGAAGATGAATCGCTTGGAAACACAGATTCAAGATGATAATCATTCACTTGTCCATCAGATATAGCATAACCAAGAGCTAATATGGGTACCCATTTATTAAAAGAAAGGAACTGTCCCCAAGAAGCAGGAAGTTTTAAATCTGATGGACTACTTCCTGTTCCTAGTGACAACAACACGATTTTGAGGGGCTCGTTTGCTTTTATTGGAATGAAATCAGAATTCTTCTCATTCAATTGTTGTATCACTTCACTTATTGCAAGCAAAGCCTGAATATACAAATTATTAACATGTCATGGAATGTGCGTGTATCCATTGATCAACATGAATCGAGAAACATAAGTTTGGAATTTACCGGGCCAGCTGCAGTGAGAACCCCATCAACTAGATTGAATTCCTTATCACCATTCTTAAAGGCATACGGTGGTAGTTGGGATGGGAAAGCTGAAGTCCCAATACATATATCAGAAAGTTTTGCATCTAGGCTAGGAACAGTCTTTAGCTGCATGCACAAACAAAGTTTTACACACAAAAAGTCCCAAAATATTTAAGTATGGTTATGCAAAAATGCTGACCTTAAAGCTTGAGAAGATAACTGGGTGTAAATCAACGGTATCAAAGGTTGGAATTACAACATTGGTCAATGTATCATGCAGACGTGTTTCTTGCAAAAGCTCATGTGCCTTTTCATGTAAGTGCTGAGGACAGAAGTTAACACGTATTACTAGTTGTTAGTGGGTTTAGTGGGTGGTTTCTTTGATGTTAATAAAAGACCTATTCAATTGGTGTGTTAGCTTTATTTTCCTTTAAGTTAGCTTTCATTCCATATTTGTAGGAGTAGTGGTTACGTGGTATTTTTCCTCTTCCTGTAACTGATGTAAGGCTATATAATAGCCATTACTTCTCAACAATAAGATCAATCTTCTTTGCTTCAAACCTTATTCCATATATGTATCTTGTTTCTTAACATATGGTATCTAGAGCCTAGAATTTCTTTATACAGAGTGAGTGTTAGTGAGCCATACTTGCAAGCATGACTTCAGAAAATTCTTTTGTACAACCAGCAGTTCCTAAGTTCGATGGGTACTATGATCATTGGGCAATGCTCATGGAAAATTTTCTACGATCAAAAGAGTATTGGGGATTAATAGATGAAGGCATCCCTAAGACTGCAGTCGGAACAGTGTTGACAGATGCACAAAAGAAGCAGCAAAATGAGTTGCAACTCAAAGATTTGAAGGCCAAGAACTATCTTTTTCAAGCATTGGATCGTTCTATCTTGGAGACAATTCTCAAGAAGGATACCGCAAAGGATATTTGGGACTCCATGAAAATAAAGTATCAAGGGACGAATCGAGTCAAGCAGGCTCAATTGCAAACCCTACGCAAGGAATATGAAATTCTGCATATGAAGGAAGGAGAAACAATAACGACCCTCTTCTCTCGAATTCTTACAATTGTCAATAAGATGAAAGCCTGTGGTGAAAACAAAGATGACAGCGATGTTGTGAGTAAGATTTTGAGGTCGCTGACTCCAAAGTTCAACTATGTTGTATGTTCTATTGAGGAGTCAAACAACACAAATGCATTGACCATTGATGAACTTCAAAGCAAGTTGCTTCTACATGAACAGCGTATGTGTCCTTCTATTGAAGAAGAGCATGCTCTGGCTGTTACTTTTGGAGGTCGGGGACGTGGTCGTGGAGCTCGAGGTAGAGGTCGTGGTAGACAAAGTCGTGATCGATCAACCGTAGAATTCTACAAATGCCACAAGCTGGGACATTTCCAATGGGAATGTTTATCCAAGGAGAATGAGGCTCATTATGCTGAAAGTCAAGAAGAATTGCTACTCATGGCGCAGGTTGATATTACAACACACTCTTATGAAAATCAATGGTTCCTTGATTCAGGATGCAGCAATCACATGTGTGGTATGAAATCATCTTTCTCTGATCTTGATGAAAATTATCGTGACTCGGTTAAATTGGGGAACAATACTTCTATGGTTGTACTGGGCATGGGCAATATAAGGTTGCAAGTAAATGGTAGGGTGCATATCATTACTGGAGTTTTCTTTGTGCCTGAATTGAAGAACAACTTACTAAGCATTGGACAACTGCAAGCCAAAAACCTAACTATCATGTTTGAAGGTGGAAAATGCAAAGTATTTCATCCTGAAATAGGTCTCCTCATGGAAACAAAGATGGCTGCCAATCGAATGTTTATTCTAAATGCCGTGGCTCAACCTAAGTCTTCTACATGTTTTAACACTGTTGCTGAGGATGAATGGTATCTTTGGCATTGTCGGTACGGACATTTCGGTTTCAAGGGACTCCAAACTCTTGTTCAGAAAAAGATGGTGACTGCACTGCCTCACTTGAAGTATTCAACAAAGACATGCAAAGATTGTTTGGTTGGGAAGCAACATAGAGAGTCTTTCCCATCACATAGTACATGGAGAGCAGATCACATTCTACAATTGATTCACGCTGACATTTGTGGGCCAATTAAACCAGAATCCAACAGTGGAAAAAGGTATTTTCTCACTTTAACCGATGATTTCAGCCGCAAAACATGGGTTTATTTCTTGACTGCAAAATCAGAAGCTCTAGGTGTTTTCAAAAGTTTCCAGATTCACATTGAGAAACAAACTAGTCATGCTGTCAAAGGCCTACGCACAGATCGAGGAGGAGAGTTTACTTCTCACGAATTCATGCAACATTGTGCAGAGCATGGTATCCAACACCAATTGACAGCCGCATATTCTCCACAACAGAACGACATTGCTGAAAGAAAGAATCGAACTATAATGAATCTTACTCGAAGCATGATGTCCAACAAACAAATTCCTCGCACTTTTTGGCCGGAAGCTGTCAATTGGACTATGCACATCTTAAATCGCAGTCCTACTCTTGTTGTAAGAAATAAAACCCCGGAAGAAGCCTGAAGTGGCATCAAACCTTCAGTTGAGTATTTTCGGGTTTTTGGTTGCATTGGCCATGTTCATGTTCCTGATGCTAAGCGAACCAAACTCGATAACAAGAGTTTTCCTTGTGTTTTACTTGGCGTCAGTGATGTATCCAAAGCATACCGACTATATGATCCAGTTTCCAAATGAATCATCATTAGTAGGTGTGATACGGTGGGAGAACTGACTAGGGTTTTGCGTTTGTTTTCGCAAATGTTTCGGTTGAGCAAGAGTCGCCACCGACTTTTTATTTTATCCTAAGGAAAGGTTTAAAAAGCACAGCAAAAACCTTTGAGATTTTTCTTGGGTTCGGGGAGTAGATTATAGAAGGGGAAGGTATTAGCACCCCTTCTATCCATGGTTATCCATGGGCTCTTAAGTACTTGCTTAGATCAACTTGCCTTAGTTTTCAATTGTTTGAAATGGTGCTTTGTGTGTGGCTTTGAAAATGTTTTGAAAAGATGCCTTGTGTTAGGCTAACCTTGTAACAATTCTTTACTCGAATGTTTTACAAAAGGTGTTTTATCTTTTAAAAGATGTTTCAAGGGTTTGAAAAGTTTGATTTTTGAAAGTGTTTGTGAAGTGGGTTTTGAAATTAGGCAAGTGTTTTCTTGGAAAGTTGACAAGTACTTAAGAGTTTATCTACCCTAAAATTTTCTCAAAGATTTTTGTTATGTTTTAAACCTTTTGACAATTTTGTTCCACCATTGTGTTTGGTGGACAATCTTATCTTAGGATGTGAAATGGACGGGCGCGGGTCATCGTTTGGACCATAATTGCAACGGCGTTAAATGTCTTTGGGCAATTTTCTTTAAGGGACTTGATCATTTATTTTTGTTTGTTTTGAAAAGTTTTATCGAGGGACTATGATCATTCAATTTGTTTGCTTTGCCCAAAGAAATTCAACATGCAACATGGCCCATTTATTTGAAGGCAACAAAGTGGAATACCCTAGGGGTGCAAGTGTGAGATGTGTTGTTTATTTTCATGCTCTTTCATCTTGTATTAGGTCAAACTATTTTTTGTTGTTTTTTGCATACCAACCCTAATTCTAACATGGCATAATTAGAAAGCGTATAAAGTGCGAAATTTAAATTCCTACGCTATTACAACATAATAATATAGGGAGGGGGATACAAATTTACAAATGGGGGATATTTAGACAAGAATTTAAATCTAAATTATTACATCATTTTTGAATATTTGCAAGGTAAATAAATTGCATAATTAAATAGAAATTAAATAAATATGCAAAAATGCAAAAAGGGAACTTTTTATATGTATGAAAAAAAGTATGGTTTATGTAAAATAAAACAAGAAAATAAAAAGGTATTATTTTTGAGTATTTTCAACTTTTAGGGCAAAAACCCTAATTTCAATTAAAAGGGATATTAATTATTTAATTCATATAATATTTATTATTTACATACAAAAATAAAATAAAATATAATATATTTGTAAAAAAGGGTATTTTTTAGTATTAAATATTAAAAAAAATAAAATATGTACATTTTTGGTATTTTTACTCTAAGTATATTAATATATATATATATATATATGTATATTTATATTATTTTAAATATGTACTATATATAAATAGTGATAATAATTAATTTTTTTAGAAAATAGTATTTTTTATATAAAATATTTTCAGAGGATAATATAAAATAAAAATAAAAATAGAAGTGTTTTTACATATTTTCCTATTTGTCCTAAATAATAATATATATATGTATTTATGTATAAACTAAAGGAAAATCAAATAAAATCAAATAAAAATCAAAAAAAATGGTGAGAAAAATATTTTCAAAATTTTAATATGCTGAGAAAAAATAAACAAGTCAAACAAAAAAAGAAAAAGTCAAAAAGAATTAAAAATAAGGCAAATGGGCTTAGGGGGTGAGAAAATGGAAATAAGGTGCAAAAAGAAGAAACCACACAGGCCCAGCCCATGTGGCTTCATCTTCAACCTTCGTTCAACAACATTCAAAAACGCGCGCCCTGTACTCCAGCTGCTAACTCCTGATTCCTGGCTTTTTAACAAAAACTCATAACATAAAAAATGCTCAGCATGAAGAGACGATTCCAACCATGTATAGAACTTGACCTAACTCTCTAAGATGAGGGAGAATTTCTCCTCCCCCAATTTCTGACCTAGTTTTTCTGCCATTTTCAAACTCCAAATTCTCTCTACTCAGGCAAAAGAAATGAAAAGTAAAGATATGTACATGTTCAGGGCTATGAGTAGAACCTTGCTTCTTCACAAACTTAAGACTAAAGATGCATAATAAGAGAGATACGAGTTCAAAATTTTACCTATTCAGTTGAACTTCTATCTGGAGAATGAGGAACTTTCAGTGTAAGGTGATGATTGGAAAAGCTTCCTTGTTCCTTGAGGTCCAGGGATACTATTCCAATGTTTACTTTGTCTTGAAACTTCTTGTATCGAGCTGTGGAACTTCAAATGCTAGGGAATGTGTATGAATTGGTTTTGTTCTTTGGAAGGTGTTTGATCAGTTTGTTCTTGTGTGCTAATGCTGAGATGATAGTTGTTACAAGTTATGGGACTTTCTTCACACTTAAGCAATAAAATGCAACTTGGCTTTCTAGGCATGTAGGGGGCCTCCTAATGTGCTGCATAATCCTCTCTTGATCAGTGTGTTATGTTCATAAACTCGTGCCATTCAGATTTGCAATGTACCTTCTTGATTTGCAATTGGACATAAAGCAAGCTTTTGCAAAAATGGAAAGTTCACTTTATCTAGTTTAGGGTTAGTTCATCATGTAATGTCCAAATGCTTAGAATAACAACTTGGCACATTGGTTTTGCATTTAATTCTTGAGTGTAACTTGGTTTAAGGACCTGTAATCTAGCCTAAAACAAGCTGAGTTCAAATTGCAAGATTATGAACATGGAACTAGGTCATGAACAAAGTGGTTTTTTGCTATATTGTGAAATTCGATTCTCTCTAACCATGAGGTTGTTTGAGAAGTTCTTGGAC